CAATACAAGAAGTTGATGGCGGTGGCATTTAATTGGGCCTTCTTAAAGTCGGCTTCATCATATTCATCCTCGTCCTTCGGGATGAGTGTATCGCCTATCTTCTTCATCGGCAAGCTATCTCCATTTTTGATAGCAAGCCAAATTTTGAAGTTGTTTGATTGAACAAAAATCCTCATTCGCTCCTTCCAATAGGAGTAATTTGTTCCATCAAAAAATGGCGGCCTTACGGTGGATTGTCCTTCTCCTATCCCTGCGTTCAACATTCTCAAAAAAAAATTTTGATCGTTTTCTCAAAGGTCACAAAGAGCGTTAGAGACACCCGCTCTGATACCAATTGTTAGACAAGGCGTGCAACTCTAGAGGGGGGGTGAATAGAGTTGTTGAGAATGTTTACCAATTTTCGCAGGATTAATAATATAAACGAAAGTGCAGCGGAAATAAAATAGAGAAGGCAAAGAACACACCGATGTATACTGGTTCACCACCTCGTGGCTAGTCCAGTTCCCCAAGAGACTCTCTCGAAGCTACCACTAGTTCCGTTAAGCTTACGGGTGCTTAACAAACCGTTTACAACTCGAGAACTTGAATCCCACAAGCCTCGACACAACCGCTCGTAGATATGCCCTCTACAAGACTTCACAACCAAGACTTAAATCACATAAGCCTTGCACAACAAGAAGAACAATCTTCTTCAACCTCTCAACAATAGCTCTCAAAAGAGTAGATAAGAGAAATGATTAAGGCTCTAATGGATGACAAAACACTCTCTTAAAAACAAATAGTTTTTCTCTCAAAATAATATATATTTGAGGAAAGATTGATGGAGGATTAAAACCTCAAGAATGGGGAGTATTGGAGTGTTTTTTTCATTAAAAAAATGACCAAGGAAGAGTGTTTAAATAGAGGAAAAAGAAATAAATCCGTTGGAAGTGGGGAAGGCTGATTTTGACAGAATAGGACCGTTGGTGATCGATCCAGGGGAAAGGATCGATCACCTGGAGTAATGGATCGAAATAAGATATCTGTCAAAACTTTGGGGGATCGATCCAAGGAGATGGATCGATCCAAGGGCACCAAAAATCCAGAAGAGAATTTTCGCAAGCCTTCGGGGGATCGATCCAAGGAGATGGATCGATCCAAATCCCTGAGCACACACCACGAAGATGATCGATCCTTGCAGATGGATCGATCCACTGACGAACATCCCTCAAACATGCGGACCCAAGACATGTGTGCGAGTGGGATGGAAATTTGGAGCCTAATGAATTGTTTTAGACAACAATTTGAATATCAAAAGGCTCCCAAAAACAAACAAATCAAATGTGTTGAGAGAATTAATTCAAATTCAAAATTTGAATTAAATATTGAATTTTGGTGAAGAAATTGAGTCCCAAAAATATTTTGTGTGTCAAACGATGTACACGAAAAATATTTGAATAAAATATTTTTGCTTACCAAAAATATTTCATATTATCAAAATAAATATTTGATAAATGTTTGGCACACCTTTTGTGACTGACTCAATAAAATTATTTTGAACAGTTAAAATGATTTTTCATCTGACTCCAAAAATAAATATAATTTTTATTTTAACTCTCATAAAAATAATTTTGGAGAGAAGATATTTTTGTCATCCTTACAAATATTCCTACGACTCAAATAAATAAAAAGTCTTCGAAAATCTTCTACTACTCAGAGTCCTCCGCTAGGCGCTCCGAACGCGTCTCGGACTCCAATAAAATCCTGTGCACCTTCTTGAATACTTCAAGGAATGGCACTTCAAGTCTTCGTGTTTGTCGTTGTAGCACTTTGATCTTGACTTGAATAAAATGTGTTTGTCAATTATCAAAACCTGTGATTCAACACTTAACAACACAGAAAGGGTTGAGCTCATGCATTCCAACACGATGAGACTTTTGTTTTGTTTGAAACCAAAAGTGTGGTTTCACTTTACTTGTTCAAGTCTTGGATGACCGGTTAAGTGTTTTCTCGTTTGCGCTTTTGCTTGTGAAGATAGAATCATTGAATATTCTATTGGGTGCAAATAGGTAGTTTTACACCAGAGTCAAGAATTCATCATTTTTTTCCACAGGTGCGAATCTGTTCTTCAACCCGGCTACAATTGTACCATCCGAGTCGAGAAGAGCAACAAAAAGGCCCATCGCCACAAGAACAAAAAATACAGAAGTAACCTGCAAAATCACGTGGTCTACACATGTCACTGTTGTTCACACCGCAACCTAATATCAGGAACGGCAACAGGCTACCTGAAAGAGATATGCCCACGAAAGGACAAGCCCTTAACCCACAAGTCCTCTGAATCAAAGACTGCCAACAAACAACAACAACAACCCACTAAAGTCCCACAAGTGGGGTCTGGGGAGTGCGGATGTACGGAGACCTTACCCCTACCTGAAGAGGCAAGAAAGTCATCTCCCAATCAAAGTAATAGTAATGATAACGAGATTGCACGAGGTGGGCCCGTTGAACCAATAGATGATCCTTCGACTCCATTGTCGATGAGAGTGGACATTAGCCTTTTGGACTCAAAGAGAAAGAGGAGGAGGATGAAATCTGGAGGATTAGGGAAGGCCATTGGATCTGGGCATGCTACTACTGTTACCAATAATACTATTACAACTGCAAAAGATGTTATTGATCAAAGTAACAATGGCACCGCTAGGAAAAGGAGGCGAAAGTCTTGGACTAGTTTGAAGGAAATTGCGGAGAGTAGTGGACGCGATCATAGTAAGTTTTCAAATGTGGCTGCCCTTTTTTCCTTTGATTTCAAATTATGTGTTCGCATTAATTATCGAATGTGTGAAAAAATAAAGGGTGTCTTAGAGTGCTACATAAATAGCCATAAATAGCCTGATGTGTGAAAAACAATAAGGAGTGTTATATGTGTAATATTGGGTGTCTTAGAGTGCTACATATGATGATTTATATAAAATAAAAGGGGGAAATTTACCTAAATAGTACTAAAACATAGTGACTTTCCAAATGTAGAACTATATGTTTTTTTCCCCAATGTAGTACTACTGATCATTGTCGACTGTTTATTGTTCAAATAAATGTCCACCGCCACTAGACATTGTCCAAACTAAATGTCCACCATCACTGAACGTTGTTCCTGTCACTAGACATTATTTAAATACTATTTAAGGAATAAAAAATTTAAATACTACATTGGAAAATAATAGATGCTTTAGTACTATTTAGCGCAAATTTTCAATAAAAGGGATGTGTTGGGGGTCTAACGGAGCATTTGACAGAAGGACGAAAAATCCCCCATTGGTAAATTTTAGAAAAATTGGAGGTACGTGGCAATATATTTTTAAATTTAGAAGTACCCAATAATTCTTATAACAAAATTTATACTCCATCCGTCCCAAATTATTTGCAACGTTTGTTTTTTCAGCAGTCGCGGGAACTTTTGTTTATTTCTATGTTTTTATTGGTTATTTGATAAAATAAAATATTCTTGACACCTCTTATTTCGAAAAAAATTTCATGCAGTTTTTTGATATGTAAATTTTATTTTTTATTTCTATACCAATATTTAAATAAAATGAATTTAAAATACTTAATATTTTGCCTCGGGAATACAAGTGTGACAAATATTTAAAAACGGGGGAGTAGTACATAGCGGCAATATTTTGGAGTATTTGTGTGATGGGAGATGCTAGGGGTACACCAAAGGTGTACCCCAAATGTACACCACTTGCCTCTACACCATTCATTTTATTTTGTTTTTATTTTTTTTATATTTTATTCTTGAATTTTGTTGCCTTTTTTGTGGTAATGAAGCGGGTGGAGATATTTGGAGTACACATTTGGTGTACTACTATCATTAAAGTTGTGTGAATTTGTATCTTAACCTTTTGTATTTTTGACTTGAGGTTGATGATTGGTGGTGGTGTTGATACGAACGGGGGAACCACCAATACCAAATCCCCAAATAATTCATTCATTACATTCTCTCCTACCAACAGAGCTCTATTTTTCTTTCTTTCTTTTCTTTCCTACCTCAGTTCTTCTAGGGCATTCTTCTTCTTCTCCCTTCCATTCTCCATCCAAACCCTACCGCGCTCTCATCTCCGTTCATCGATCGGTGATTGAGAAAATGCAACATCAGAGGCTGAAGCAGCAGCAGGCCTTGATGCAACAAGCCCTTCTTCAACAACAGCCTCTCTACCATCCTGGCCTCATAGCTGCTCCACCGGTTCGATTTCTCTTTTTTGTCTTTGAAATTCATGATAATTGTTTTGTTCGGATCAATCGTTCAGCGTATTGTCGAGGAGGATTTGATGCGGTAGCTGCTGCATCGTTATTTGATTTTATGTTCGCTGTTTCTCGCATCTGTGCTTTGATCGAGACAAAATGTTCTTTGTTGCGTTTGTTCTTAGGATTGAGATTACAAGAGCTTTATTTTCCATGAATACTCAAAAGCCTGGTCGTTAATAGATCAAAACCTGCTTGTTCCGTTGTTTTTTTATTTGTATTTCTTAGTTTTTCATGAGCATGATAATTTAGTGCCTGGTTGATTAATTATTGATCACACGCTATATTGAAATAATTGATGCTTAAATCAAGTGTTCAACTGAGACAAATGGGAGTGATTGTCAGAAAATGTGATGGTTCTGTGCAGTTTTCCTCATAAATAGTGGAATTACTTGTCATTGTTAGATGAAGCATATTGCCAGTGATCTCAGTGTCCTTCATTTTGTTTTATTCTGAAGGTCAAAACAATTCTAGCTTTAAATGCCAAAGGGGATGACTTTAACATCTTTCCTAGTTACACTAAACTGTCTGACTTTATTAAGAACTCTAAAGGGTGTGCAAAGTGCAAATTTACACCTTTCCTATTTTGACTTTTAATTAACACTTACCAATTCTTAATGATCAACAAAAATTGGTTGACAGTTCAAAATGCATCATGTATGGAGGCTTTTTTAACACATACCACTTGGTTATGCACTTATGCCCTAGGTTTAGTATCTAGAGATTGCAAATAAATTTAATTTACGGCGCAGATATTCAGAGTTTAGATTTATATTGGCATATGTTGTTGATTCCTTTTTCTTTTCTTCCCATACTGCATTTTGAGAATTCATTTTATGATAGAAAACATTGGATGTTTTCTGATTCTTTTTTTTGGGGGATTGGGAGATTTACTTTTTTCTAAGCTGGCGTGGGTCAGAAAGAATATGTGCATGTAGAATAGGTTTTTGATTTTATTTTTTTTTCTTTTTACATATTGCAGATTGAGCCCATTCCAAGTGGAAATCTGCCTCCTGGGTTTGATCCAAGCACATGTCGTAGTGTGTGAGTGTTGGGACTTTTTCCCTTGATTTTCTTTCTTTTGTTCCTTTTTAATGTTTGTTGGTTCATGTGTGTGCGGGATATAAGTCACAAATTGAGAAAGATGACCTCTTTGTTTGATGCTTTCTGAATATTTGCAACTTTAGAATTTTATGATGCTCAATGGTGAATTTGTCTAGAATTAAGCAAATCCCATATTGTTTCATCTTTTTGAAAGTCTTTCATCACTATTTATGAGGGGATCGGCATTTTCTTTTTCTAATTCATTAGCTGGAGGAAATTCTTCTAATTTTTTGTTAAATTTTCAATTTTCAATTTTATTTTAAAAATCTCAGTGTTTTTACTTTTTGAAAATGCAGGTATGTTGGGAATATTCACCCCCAGGTGACTGAACTACTTTTGCAGGAAGTTTTCTCAAACGCTGGTTTGGTTGAAAGTTGCAAGCTTATAAGAAAGGAAAATGTAATTTCTGATATTTTCAACTTTCCAATACCGTGGAATTCATTTTACTGATAAGTGCATAACTGCATATTATTCTTTTTTGTCCCTGTAATGTTTTTCTCTAGTCCTTGCTTACTGAAATGTTTACTCTCTGTGCAGTCATCCTATGGGTTCGTTCATTATTATGATCGTAGATTTGCTTCTTTGGCTATACTATCACTAAATGGGAGGCAACTGTAAGTAGAAATCAGTCATTTCTGTTAATTACACAATTCTCTTTTCCGGTGATTCTCATTCAGTTATATACAGGTTTGGCCAACCTATTAAAGTTAACTGGGCATACACCAGTACTCAGAGAGAAGATACTTCAAGTCTGTATTTCTTAACTAGTACTACAATTTTATTTCAGTTAATAATCATTTTTCAAAATATGGTGTAATGGAATCTTATCATCTTCCAGGTCATTACAATATATTTGTGGGTGACCTTAGCCATGAAGTTACTGATGCCATGTTATTTGCTTGCTTCTCTGTTTACCCAAGCTGTTCGTAAGTGTCATTTAGCATTCTATTCTTTCCTTCCTGTTCTATATCGAATGCCCTCCGAATTCACCCACCACCCCATTTGTAATGCGATGTCTATTTTGAGAGTCAGTAATCTGTTAGAAGAAAAAGTTGCATTAAATTTAGAAAAAAAAACTTGCACAAAAGGAGGCAAATGAGTTTTTTATTTTATTTTATGTAACTAGCTATGTTTTTAAGTCTGACCTTTTTCAATCTCCTAGTGATGCAAGGGTCATGTGGGACCAGAAGACTGGACGGTCTAGGGGTTTTGGATTTGTCTCTTTCAGAAACCAACAGGTACGTACATTTATCTTTAGATGCTCTTTGCTTTTAGGTCATGTACTCTTACGTGCTAGTCTAATTCTCTGTTATAATCTTCAGGATGCCCAAAGTGCCATCAATGATGTAACAGGTAGGACCAACTGAACCTACTTATTGTTCATATCAAATTACAGATTGTATTTTTGTGAGAGAACAATCCTTGTTTGTGGAAGGAGATTTGAATAGTTGTTGCTGGCTTGTTAATTTTGGTTTTTATTTTCCAGGGAAATGGCTTGGCAGTAGACAGATTCGTTGTAACTGGGCTACAAAAGGTGCTAATTCCAATGATGATATACAGAGCTCCGATGCAAGAAGTGTTGTAGAGCTAACAAATGGCTCATCAGGTGGAATATTTTAACTGCAAATTCATAATTTCTGTACTTCTTCCGTCCCCATAAAGTCCTATTTCTACAAAAGAAGTTAAATTGGATCAACATTGATGTTATTTTTCCCCCCAAAACTGAGTTCCAAATGAACAAGTAAAATAAAAATATGAGCGGGATTGATAAAGCATTGGAGTTTTTCCTTATCATTGGCAAAATTTAAAATATGTTCATTGATGAAACACAAGTATTTGTTTTTTTTTGGACCGAGGTTGTATTTCAATACTTCTCTTTCCCAATTTGGTGTGCATGTTTTCCTTTTTGGTCTGTCCCAACTAATGCTGCACGTTTCAACTTATAGAAAGTATTATGTGGATTGTGGAATATGTTGTTTTTCTCCTCTCTGCATAAATCTCTACACAGTTTTTACTTCATTACTGGGCACTACAATTGGAATGGAAGAAGTATATGATCACAATGTTTTGAGCATCAACAAATGAAACCTTTGGATAACCTTCTTGAATGAGAGATTTTGGATACTCTGTTATTCGAACTATGAATATGCTCTTTAATTTGGATAGCTGTCTGGTTAATGAAATGTATCTTTCGCTTTTGCAGATGACGGTAAAGAAGCACAAAACAGTGAAGCTCCTGAGAATAACCCACAATACACAACTGTGTATGTGGGAAATCTTGCTCCTGAGGCAAGCAAACTTTCTCTTATTCTAGTAGCTAACAAACGCAGGCTTTCTATGTCTTCCTATCATCTCAATGCCCCCTCCCCACATACAAACGGTCTTTTCATTTACTAGAACAAGATGTGCTATTTTAGAACATACATATATCACAATGTTCTACTCCAATTATGATTGAGGGCAATTCTGGCATTCTCTACACCTTTGAACCAGCCTTTCTAAGCACAGAGCTTACTTCTCCCTCTAACTTTAATGTTGCAATCTCATTATTGGTATCCATACATTGATACATATATGCAGGTAACACAGCTTGACCTCCATCGGCACTTCCATGCCCTGGGTGCAGGGTCAATTGAGGAAGTTCGTGTCCAACGTGATAAGGGATTTGGTTTTGTGAGATACAGCACCCATGAAGAGGCTGCGCTGGCTATTCAGATTGGAAATTCTCCATCACTTCTTAGTGGAAAACAAATTAAGGTTTGTCTTTAATTATTATTGAGTAAAATTTACAGGGACATGAAAGTTTTTTTAAAAAAAAAGAAAAAAAGATTTTGAGTATGATATCTAAGCTCTTTCAGAATATAGATTTTCACACTTATTCATCTCCAAGAATTTGAGTGAGCTGTAATGTACATTTTTTTTTTCGTTTTGAAAATTTTGCCAACACACATGATAGTGCTCGTGGGGAAACAAACCAACACCGCCAGGAACAGTGTCGAACCCACTGCCGCCGCCAGAACCCTTGCAGGCCATGTCAGCAGCTGATGTCATGATGTACGGGCGGATGAGCAAGATGGCGGGAGGGGTACATGGCGGACTAAGTCAACACCCATTGAATCAGTTTGGGTCAATGGGCATTGGAGGAGTTGCAGGAGCAAGCCAGGCCATATTAGACGGCGGCTTCCAGAGTGTCGCAGCTGCACAGCAGCTCATGTACTACCAGTGAAGATCTGAGAAGAGATATGACTGCCTATTACTGTAGGGATATTGCCATCCCCTCCCTCCCCCCTCCTATCTCTTGAATTTGAGTCTCATTACTATTATTTTTTTTTTCACTTCTTCTGTTGAAACGTATTAGTAGTAAATATCCCTGATTATCAACTCATTTCCTCACTGAAAACTGTTGCTGATTATTTCCCTCTAAAAGTTGTGGTGTGATGTTTTTTTTTGGGTGCTGCGAAGTATTATTTGTCTATACATTTTTTTAAAACCTGAATGAAGGTATATGGTGAAATTTAAAATCTGCCAAGGGATATTATACTCACTACGCTGAAAATGATTTTCTCATTTTACATTTTCACGGTCTCTACATTTATACATGAATACTCCATATATTTTATGAAAATTTAATATTTTAAAATCACGTTTCATAATGAAACTATTGATCTTACATTTATATCAAAACAATGTAATATCAATATAAGAAGAGGATAAACAATAAGTAAATTTGGAGAATACAAAGAATTAATCCTGTTTATATAAGAAGATGAAACAAATAAGTAAATTTTTATTAATTCTATTTCTTTTAAAACAAGAAAACGGAAAACTAAGAAAGATACTAACACAATGATTTTTTTTTCGACCCGGTTTCCTTCTTCTGTTGCCAACAAACACAATGATTTTTTTTTTCTACTCCGTATATATCAAAGATCAAAGTTTACAAAATTTTGACTAAAAAATCAAATGAGAAACACAAAGGGTCAGCGATTGTCTAGTTAAGCAGGATGTGGAAATCCACAAACTAGAAAAGAACTATAATATGAGAAAGATATCGATCGGTAATTGGTTTAAATTTATGTCACATTGCTCCCTCCCACAAATGTCACACACACTCACACACATACATACATACATACATACAGGGGCGGACCCACATAGGATCATACGGGGTCACGCGACCCCACGGACCTCCACGTAATTTTATAGTAATATACTCTATTCGTGTTGTACATATGTATATATAACGTTGAAATTGGGCAATTACGTACATAGTTGAACAGCCTAATGTTTGCACGCGTCATTGCTCATCGTGTTGTCTCCAGTTCGAGTCCCCATGCCCTCTTGTGCTTAGATCATTTTTAGTGAGTAGTTGTTTGTACTTTAGACCTCTTTGTTTGTTTTATGTTTTATTATTTTTATGTGCTTAGATTATTTTTTGTGACTAGTTGTTTGTACTTTAGACCTCTTTGTTTGTTTTACTGTTTTATTATTTTTATGTTGAAATAAATTTATAAATTTAAAACATTTCTCGATTTTCGAAAATAAATATATGAATGGTACTCTGTATTAATTATCTTTATTTTTCTAATAAAGATAACTTTAACTTTTTAATTTTTATCCATGTCATTTGAAAATCTATGTAGGAAACGATTTTTTGTGATTAGTTTTGTACTTTGGACCTCTTGTTGGTTTTATTATTTTTATGTTGAAATAAAATTATAAATTTAAAACGTCACCCATTTTTAGAAAAAAAATATATGACTGATATTCCATATTAATTATCTTTATTTTCTAAGAAATAGAACTTTAACTTTTTAATATTTTATCCATGTCATTTGAAAATCTACGTAAAATTTATATTTGTGGAGTATTTCGATTTTTCTTAAGTACTTCAAAATTTTGTATTCCTTTCGTATTAAACTACTAACCAATAGATTTGATTGTTATTTGTCTATTCTCTTCTATATCGAAAAAACTCATAAACTTTAAACTTTACTTATTTATATAAAAAATATATGTAGTTGATATTATTTCTCATTTTTCCAAAATAAATTCTTATGATCATAGTTTTAAAAACCGGACCGGACCGGCCGGTTCGGACCGGGAACCGGTGACCAAACCGGTCCGGTCCGGGCCAAAAAACCGGATCTGCTACGACCCGGCTTGTACCGGTAAAAACCGGTAGGAACCGCCCTAAAAACCGGAAACCGGACTCTTTTTCTCTTATTTGCGAAAATCCTCCAAAATGACACCATGCAAAGACTCGAACCCATGAACCCCCAACATCTATATCCTCCTAACCACCACCTGAGCTAAAGTCCTCTTGTGCCATTTCTTGCATAAACAAGAAATATATAAAATATATCCTGATAAAAATTTCTAAAATGATTTCTTTAACTCAGATTTAAATTTTTAAGTACTACGTATTCTACAAATACATACTACTCCGTTCATGAGTATTTGTCCAGTTTTGACTTTTTCGGTCAACTATTTTTAACCTTTGACCTTTTAAATAATATATACATTGTATTTTATTTAAATAAAATAATATTTTAAAAATATTTGATATAATAAATCTAATATAACTTTTTTTGTATCAATATAAACCAATATCAAGTATACTAATATAATATTACTTGAGTGTTATAAATTAATTTCTTTAGATATTTATAAATGAGAATATGTGTGTGTCTATATGTATGTGTATATAGATACACACACACACAGATATATATATATATGTATTTATGTGTGTGTATATATATATATATATATATATATGTATGTATGTATTTATGTATATATTTATTTATATTTATATAATTTTTAAATATGTTTAGACCACCGGTTCGACCAGTTGAACCACTGGTTCGACCAGTGAACCAGTACCTTGACCGGTTCGGTCACCGGTTCGGTTCTGAAAACTATGCTTATGATACATCTTTCATATTATCTAATTTAAAGCATCTCATTTAAAAATTTATAGTAAATTTTTGAGAATATTATCTAATATGTATCTAAGAAAAACTTTCATAGTATACGTCGGTTTAAGAAAATTATAGTACATGTAGATACCATAAAATTATTAATTGAGAATATTATCTAATATGAATCTAGCTTATTTTACTTATGACCCAACAAATGAAATATAGTCTCACATTCTAAATATATAATCGACCCCATGGTAAAAAATCCTGAGTCCGCCCCTGCATACATATATATATATATATATATGTCTCGTCTGGGTCAGGCTTTAGATGGAAACGGTGAAGTTGAGGAAGAAGCTAAGCGGGCGGGAAAGCGGCTGAGTGCAGCATCCCATGCCGCCTGCATTATGCCTCACAATCCGAATCACATCAATATTCATCCGTCCCTCTCTTTCTTAACTTCTATATATCCCTTTTAATCTTAGCTTCATCTGCCTCAAAATTGTATAGGTTTTCTGCATGCTTTTACGTCCCCAAGCAATGACATCTTCTTCTTCTTCTTCGTTGTCGTCTCCGCTCTATTATACACCGCGGCGGCGGCCAGTTGCCGTACCCCGGCCGGACTTCAGCTGCAATTTTCCGACAACCAACATAGTCGGTGCGCATGCATTTTCAGTTCTGCAGATGTTGCAACGATTCTAATGCAATATTTTGACCATCAGTCTCTTTTCTGAGTAGCTAGCATTAACTCTATTACAATATAATACCTGTCTCTCTGCATAATTTCTCTACCTACTGAAACACATTCGAACGTGTGACCTTCCATTTGTAAAAACAAACTACGGTTCAAGACCGCAAGGTCTTTGACACCGTTCATATCGATCTCGTTTTCTTTTCGTGCATTGGATTAATATCGATCTCTATTTGTATTTGAACACATATGTTACAGGGAGAGGAAGAAGACGGGGCGTGGCTGTGAGAGCAGCAAAGGAGGAAGAAGAAGTAGTGGAGGCACGAAGGAGGTCGACGAAAAGGAGAGTGGTGGTTACGGGAGTTGGTGTGGTATCGGCGATAGGGGACGATCCGGACTTGTTCTACCATCGTCTCCTCCACGGCGTCAGCGGCATCACTCACATCCAGTCCTTCGATTGTTCCGAATTCCCCACCGTACGCACATTTGAAATTCCAAACGTGTTTTACTCTATTGTAGTACGTGCCTCGCAGATAGTTTCACGACTTATGTGACAGTGTCACAGTGGTGTCAAATGTGGTGTGCCTCTAGCTTTGTTCTCGAAAATTTCTCTCCCTACTGTCAAGGAACCAACTCAACCACAAGCTCAAGCTTGTGGTTTTAGCCCAGGAAGAGTTGTTTATATTCTAAAATGCCCCACCCCCCACGTGGAGGCGTAGTCTTTTTCGAGCCTTGCACGTGAAACTTTAATTTTCTTAAAACTCGGTGTCGCTGAGTTTCGAACTCGTGACCTCTTAGTCAACAAGGCTTTGATACCATGTCAAGGAACAAACTCAACCACAAGCTTGGCCCACGAAGAGTTATTTATATTCTAACACCTACTCTATTGTACCTTGCCAATGCTCTCTATTTCTTTATGAGTTCTTGTTTGGGACAGAGAATTGGAGGGGAAATAAAGAGTTTTTCAGCTGAAGGGTGGGTTGCCCCTAAACTTGCGAATAGAGCGGACAAGTCTACGCTTTACATGCTAACTGCTGGCAAGAAGGCTCTTGTGGATGGGGGAGTGACCGAAGACGTAATGCCAGAGTTGGACAGAGCGAAATGTGGGGTTCTGATCGGCTCCGCGCTTGGCGGTCTCAAGGTTTCTTGCGACGCCATAGAGGCCTCAAGGGTGTCCTACAAAAAAATGAACCCTTTCAGCGTCCCTTTCGGTTCCCCCAACATTGGGTCTGCCATTCTTGCAATGGATTTGGTGAGTCATCTGTCTATCTTCACATTCCATCCTAAATGGTACTGCCTCTGTCCTAGTGTGTTATCTTTCCTACTTTTTTCAGTCAAACTGGACGAATATACTGGGACGGACGGAAAGAGTATAAGACACACACACAGAGATAATCAAAGAAACTAACATATAAAGACTTTTTGGACCACTCTTATTTATACTATGAAGGGTTGGATGGGGCCGAATTACGCTATAAGTGCAAACGGCGCAACAAGCAACTTCTGCATCTTAAGTGCTGCAAATCACATTGTTAGAGGCAACACAGTAAGACCCTTTTTTTCATTACTTAGTTTTACCTAGAATTTGGTAACTCACAATGTAATAATAGACTTAATTCATTGCATGATTCATTTCAGGATATGATGCTTTGTGGTGGATCAGAATCAACATTTATTCCTATAGGATTGGGAGGCTTTATTGCATGCCAGTCCCTCTCAAAGAGGAATGATGATCCAGCAAGGGCTTCTCGTCCTTGGGATATGGTATTTTGAATGTCTTAAGTATCATTATTCTTTATTCTTAGAGCATAAAACTTTTCCCGACCTGCAATTGCAAACGATTGAATTTTTGGTTGAGTTAGTTTCTTGACAATTGTTACTGAACAAGTTCTTGTTGTGACACGACGGAGAAGGAAAGAGACGGATCCGTTTTGGGGGAAGGAGCCGGCGTCTTACTCTTGGAAGAACTACAACACGCTAAGGTGTGTGTGTGTGTGTGTGTGCGTGCCTCTTAGCAATATTAGAGGAGTGACTAAACCGAAGACTCTTCTCTTTTTCTTTATATGGTAATCTGATCAATGTGACAGAAAAGAAGGGCAAAGATATATGCGGAGATTCTAGGTGGAAGTTTCACCTGCGACGCTTACAGTGTGACCGATCCGCACCCAAATGGTACTACCACACGACGGGTCATTTAACTATTGAGTAAGCACGAGAAATTTGAGTAACCATTGATGTTTGTTTGCGTGCACATTGTGTATATTGATTCATCAGGAGCGGGTACGGTTATGTGCATTGAGAAGGCCTTGGCTCAATGTGGAGTGCAGAGAGAAGACATCAATTATATCAACGCTCATGCGTGTTCTACCCCAACGGGTGATCTCAGAGAGTATGAAGCTATAATTCGCTGTTTCGGAAATAACCCTGAGGTAGTTTTCTCTGAGTTTTGTTACTGTGACACTACGGATTACACCAAGGTTGACACCAAAAATGTTTCATAGACATCGGACAATGATTTCTCACACACAATAACTCTCTCTGTGATTGTATCTGGTGGTGTCAACTTTAGTGTCATCTCTGGGGCTAAGTAGTAATTTCCATTTTCTCTCGTTCCTAGAGTTGGTAACTCCACGGACGGTTCATATGATATTCTCTAAAGTTACTTCAGAGACGATTTAATTTGAACCGTCCGTAGAGTAGCAGAACTTCTTGCAAGGGCACACTGACATTCTGAATATGATTTTTGTCCCTTTTTTACAGCTTAAAATGAACTCTACAAAATCTATGATTGGTAACCTCTTAGGGGCTGCTGGTGCAGTGGAAGCGATCGCGACGATTAAGGTAAGAATTTCGGCCTCACTTTAAAATTCTACACCAAAATTGAATTGATAAATGAGATTGGTTTTTGGTTTTTGAACATGATAGGCAATCCAAACAGGGTGGATCCATCCAAATCTCAACCTTGACAACCCTGACAAAGGCTTTGTATTCCTCTCCTTCCCTAAAATCTTAACCCCCTTTTGGCTTTTTGGTATGTTAGAATCACATCACATGAAAAAAAAACCAACAAAGAATATAAATGATGTGTATAGAATGTTGATTTTCCAAAGAATGTCAAGCCATACTTCAGACTTGAAATTCTTACGTACCAAAAAAAATTCTTTATTTTTACTTAATACTTGTCTCTCCGTCCTAATTTACTTTACATGTTTAACTTTTCTTTTTTTTGTTGAATATGTACAAACCATCCTAATTTTCTAAGTAACATTGATTTTAATGTTAAACTAATATTACTGGATTCATTTAAAAATATAGTTTGGAAATATCATGTTTTTGTACTTTTAACATTTATAAATGTGCAAATAAAATCAGATAAGTAAATTAATTTGGGTCAAAGAGAATATTATTTTCTGAAACAATTATCAATTTTCAAAACAAAATGCTTTTTTAGGACACAAATGTGGTGGTAGGCACAACGAAGGAGCGGTTGGGCATAAAAGTGGCGCTGTCTAATTCAATTGGCTTTGGAGGACTCAACTCTTGTATTCTTCTAGCCCCTCCACCGTAAGGGTACCTTTTGGTTTCATGTTTAATACGCATTCCCATAATTAGAATTTTGATGAAATGTATGGGTTATCACTTTGTTTGATCAACTTTATTTTCAATTTGTTTAATTGTAGGTGTAAAATTAAAAAATAAAAATTATATATATTAAAAAGGTATATCAAAAGATCTATAGAACTAGAGATAACATTATTATTATATTATATCATAAAATGAGTAACAAAAATAGGAAAACAACGTATATAGAGTTTAAGTATGTAAATAGTGTATTTAAAGTTTCAAGAGAAACAGAGGGAGTACCATATTTTAAAGTGAAGTTGTTTTTGTTCTCTCAATAAGTCATTAGAGTGAACCATGAAGGGGTATGATGACGTTATGAGGTGTAGTAAAGCCCTACAAGGTGTTGGAAATCAGGGAGAAGCAACCTTGTGTGACAGTGTTAGAAGCCAATGATATATGTTGAAGGCAAAAAAAACTTGATAGACTTAACGAATTACGTGAAATTAACTTTAAAATTAAAGCTATTTCGGGATATACCGAAATACTTCAATTAGATTATAATTATGTATAACAAGTATGTGACTTTTATCTCTCTCACACATACATTAAAATTATACTTATAGCACAAATTGATCAGACATGTCTATTAACGAAACAACATAATTATACACAAAATATTCGAATATTTTGACCAAGGCATTCACATGTATGTAGTGGTTATGGTTTAAACATTGCTTTCAACGATTTATACCACAAATTATCGCGTCTAACAGCAAAATATTTGAATGTTAAAGATCAAACACTTGAATGTATGCATCCTTTTGTAAATGTTAATGGTAGTTATCATCGCTAAATATATAATTTCAGACATTCGAATGCTTCTTTATTTCAACTCTGTTTACAAAAATCTAAGGAATTTAAATAAATGAATGATGTTCAAAAAACCCAACAAGGAGCTTTGGTCCTTAGACCCCGTTAGGAGCTACCATCCCCGTTAGGTCCTTACCAAGGCTATCTATCACCTTCAAACTTCTGCTAAGAAATTTGTAATATCATCAACGAGGGTACACTCCATACTACCTAACTCATTAGAGATCTATTAAAATTCTCGTTCAATCCAAGTATATCCAAATTCAAGAAATAATCGATGACACAAAAATCACCAGCACAATACTCCCCAAACCTAAAACAAACCAAATCATTTTTTTTACATTCATCTCAAAATAAAGTACACACTTCTCACGTTTTCTTTCAAGGAAAAGATGTGGCTAGTAATAATTCCAATTGTGGGCTTTCAATATGATGGCTCTTAGAATATTAGCCTTTGATCATCCATTTTTACTTATATTAAACTCTGAAATCATATAATGGACCTTGTTCAAGGGACAGGGGGAGTAGTTGGGAAGGAAGGGCAAATAATTTAGCAAGCACAAAATGCACTCCCAAATAAAAGAAATAAGGGACTGAGGTAGTAGCAAGATTGGGCATCCTTCTGTTATTTAAATACAATTCTTTTGCTTCAAGTTGTGTATGAAGGAGTGACAAAATCTCTTGAGTCTCTAATACTTGGAAAACTGGTCTCTCGTAATGAGTTGCAACCTATAAACAATATTTTCAGAACGTCTTACATAATTTTAAGGTACCCAACTGCAAGGATCCAAATGACGAGTGAATAGTCAATGGAGTGACTCTTGATATCTTTGCGCTTTAGCTGTAAGTGAGGCTCATCACCATAGCTTCTTCCTCACCCAAAGTAGGAGAAAAACAACTCCGAGGACAACCGCTACTGGGGCCCATTTCCGAATCAAAGCCTAGAGTATATCAAATAGAAATGGTTTTAATATGTCTATATACCTCCTACAAATGAACCCGACAGTTTGACTTCACAAAAATCGAGAAAGAGTATTAAAAAGTTGATAAAAAGTGCAGTTTAAATTTATTTGAAAGAGAGAACCAATCGCATCTAGATATTTGTTTCCGAAAAGATAGTGGAGAAATGTAAAGTTAGATTTTTAGACATCCAGAAAAAGGAAAGTGTAAAGATGGATAGAGTATTGTTTTTTTTGTTTAAGTTCCCTACATTGTTTTTTGTTATTAATCTTTATAGTTTTTGTCCTTTCCAAGTGAACACTTTCTGTTACTCATTGGAAGCACTGGTGAAAAGTATTAGGAGAGTTAACACCAAGTGCTACTCCCTTCCACTTAAGCCTCTCTTTGACAGGAAATTTTGAGCATTTTTTGAATGACATGGAGAAGGAACAATGGAGTTCTGTGGACAAGACATTTTTTTACTAAGGTTGTCTGAGATGAACTCAATGAGAAATGCAAAAAATCACAGGGATGCCTAATAGGGAGTAATGTTTTAAACAGGTTCCTAAAACAAAAGCACTGTATTTGTTGGGTCAAAATCAGATTTAGGGCAATAGTAATTTAAATGGAAAAACGCATTACATTCACAGCCAGTATCATAACTAACCTGACGATTTAAATCTTTTGCTTTATCGGCATAAATGCGAGATTCTGATGTTAAGCGGCTGGACATCTGGCTAACCTCTGCAGAAGCGGAGCATATGAACAATATAATAAATAATACTCTGTACTACGCAATAACTGCTATTAACCAGAAAAAGAAATGAATAAAATGGTAACAGCGTCTGCAAATGGATTATTAGCTTACGGTCCAACTTTTCACCAACACCAAGAACCTCTTGTACATTCCGAGTCATTATTTGATGAACTTCATAAAGCTCATCATTCAACTTTGCGATGTTGCGCTGAGTTCTTGTGTCCTGGTAGAGTTTCTTTGTCTTTTGAATAAATGTATCTATATGCATATTTGGAAGAGAAGAAAATCAGTATGAATGAAAAAATAACTAAATAGAAAATAAGCACAATGAACTTCAAGGCCTTACCAAACTTAATAAATGCATAAGGTCTAGCAGCTGTTTCGACTTGACTCCCATTGAGACGCTCAAATTCATTCCTAAGGTCTTCCAGATATTGAAAGGCAAGTTTCTTGGGATAAGAACGGTCACACATTGTTAGATAACAAACATGTCCTTCAATTATATAACTGAAAATCTATGTTAAGAAAGTCGCATTGTAGAAACATCAATACTACAAAAATATTCCCTTCATCCCAAAACAAACTTTACACCTCTCTTTTTTTGTCCGTCCCAAAATGCACTTAACACTTACCCTATTTCCTTTTAAAGAAAAGAACCTAAATCATTTCTCTTTCTTCTAAACAAATTCTAACCATACACTTTTCATTTTTCAACACTTTTAAAACTCAGTGAAATCAAACCATGAAGTTTATTTTGGGGTGGAGGAAGTACAAAATTGAATATGAAGAGTAATTTGGCTACAAGGATACTGGAATACGTAAGGTCCAGTTTCAACTGACATTCTAGAATCTCCATTTTGTCGTTGAGAAAGGTTCTTGAACAGCTGTTTGACCTGTTGTTTGTAAAGGTCTGCATTGGGTACATCACGCCCATCATCCAAGCCCTCCACTAAAGGCAGCCCATCAGTAACACGGGCAATCATAGTAAGTTTCACCATCTTTCCTTCCCAAAAGCAAATCTATACCTAAGATGGAAGAGAAAGGAGGATTAAACAAAACAAAATTTGACTAGCAGATTGCAGTGGATTTCACACAGGTCATAGTGGTACCAAGCACACTCTCCTATCAAAAAGAAATATATGCATATATACTTCACATATTTTGATAAGGTTCCATAAACCTCCATTTGGATCTTCAGCAAATTCCATGGAAACTAAAATATGGAAGAAAATTATGTGATTCAAACTCAATAAGTGAATTGTAGATATTTGTTCCAATTAATTTTATTTATACTTTTCTACGGAGTATAATATAAGGAATACTTGGTTTTTGTTGTTTTATAAAGACTAAGAAATGTACATATGCGCAAAATTCTAAACCCTTGCAATCAAATTTGAATTTCCTTTCCATTTTCCACAATCTAACCAAACACAAAAATATTTTCCTTTGCATTTTTTCCCATTCCCTACGATTTCATCAATCCAAACACAGCCTAACATAAATAAGACAAAGGGGATTTTAAACTCTCACAGTCCTTAGTTTCAAAAAAGAAAGAAAAACTCTCCAACCCTATAGTTCAACTTTGCCTTGGAAGGAGAGATCATTTCGTCATCTTCAAGCAAAAGTTTCCTAGATGAGTAGATCATTTCGGGGTTTCTAATGCCAATACCAAAATTCAAAAAAAATATTGACATTTATCCCTCATGCAAAGATTGGTGAAAACAGCATGTGCACTTTCTCCCATTATAATTGAAAAAAATGTTTTCTTTCCTGAAAAACAAATTCTTAACCTAAGAAATACTACGTAATACAGAGTATTAAGAACTACTCCCTCCCTCCAAGGTAAAGTGATAATGTGTTTGACTTTCCCAAAATACCCCTCCCTTCTCCTTCACCCTGTCAGCCTCCCAACTCCTCCGTCAACACAACCCAATAGCCACCCTCCATCTCCATCTCCATCTCCCCATTTGTTCAACATATTGAAAAAATAGAGGTCATCTAAATCGGTGAGGAAGAAGCCCAGTGGGAAATTGAACATACAAATAGATCGGAAAAAATAGGTATGAAAAATGAACTTACAAATAGATCTGAAAATTGACCAAGCACGGAAACAAAGAGGATGCCGCCTGCAGAGATCTATTCGGATCTGAGGGATTTTCCCTTCTATTCAGGTCTGATGGGAGTTGCACATAAACTATCGATCTAAAGTCGCCACCGTCTAATTCGCCTTCATCAAAACCGGTGAGGATGAAAAGCCTAGTCGCCTGAGCAGCCACACCAACTGGATTAGAGAGTATGGAATTAACAAAAAAAAAAAAAGGAGAGCCGAGAGAAAGAGAGAAGATCGAGAGAAGAGAGAGAGAGTGGCAAGAGAGAGGTGGGTAGAGGTGGCAATCCGTTCAACCGGATCGGTTTCGGGTTGAATTTTTTCGGTGCGGATATCTTTCGGTTATATGTTATAATCGGTTCGGATCGATTTGGTTAGATTTCGATTCAGATTTGATTCGATTTTATACATTTTTTGGTTCAGTTCGGTTTCGAGTCAGTTCAGATACATTCGGTTATATATCGGTTCGAATAGATTTCGATTCGGATACAATTTGAGTCGGATATATTTCGGTTTCGTGTCTAGTTCGGTTCGGATATATTTCGATTTCAAACCAAATATACTTTGGATATGTATTACCGAGTACTTTAACTATCCATGTTTCTTTTTATGTTTTATCACATTTTTCAATCTATCATCAATTCAAAACCTCATACTATTTTATATTTTTTTCTAATTATATTATCTCTACTCTAAATAATCTTTCCTTTTTGACTTTTTAGTCATATTTTACAAATTCGGAACTACAAATTATGAAAGCATATATATATATATATATATATACACACACACACACACACATACATATATATACACACACACACACACAGATATATATATATATATATATATATATATATATATATATATATATATATTTAATTATGATATAATTTAATATAATTAACTTGATTTTATGAAAAATTACCCAAAATAATCCCAACTTTACTCGGTCTTTCAAAAATAATCCCATCTTTCACTGTGATACATAATAATTCCAACTTTATTGAAATTTGTCAATTTTGGGTCGCCGTTAAGTTTTTAACGGAGGGTTAACGGAAATGCCCGTTTTAGACAATAAAATGAAAGTTGGGATTATTTTTGATAAATTTTTATTTTTTAATTTTTTTTGAAATTTTTATTTAAATTTTTTGAATTACTTTCAACCTCCATTTCTTTTTCTTTTTTAAAGATTATTCTTACCATAGAAAAAAGTAGATATAAAAATAATGAAAATGACAAAAATAACTAAAACAGTACAAATTAATCAAATAAATAATGTACGGAGTAATCAATAGAAATTAAATAGAAATTGGTAAGAAATAAAATAAATATATACGGAGTGGTGGGTTTTAACATTTTACACACTATACGAAGTCTTAATATACTACTTATTTTTTAAAAGAACAAGCCGTCCGGTAAAATTGGAATTATTGTAGATAATTTTTTCTAAAAAGTAAGTAGTGATATGTTAATACTTTGTATAATACGTAAAATATTAAAACCCACCCGTATATTTTTATTTTACTATTACCAATTTCAAGTTAGTTTCCATTGATTACCTTATTTATTTTATTATTTTTGTATCATTTTAGTTACATTTCTCATTTTTTCATTTTTTATATCTATTATTTTTATTTTTTAAACTAAGACTAATCTTTAAAAAAAGGAAAAAAATGATGATGGAAGTAGAAAGTAATTTAAAAAATTTAAATAAAAAATTAAAAAAATGAAAAAAAATGAAAATTCATTAAAAATAATCGCAACTTTCATTTTGTTGCCCAAAACGGGCATTTCCGTTAACCCTCGGTTAGAAACTTAACGGTGACCCAAAATTGGCAAATTTCAGTAAAGTTGGAATTATTATGCATCATAGTGAAAGATGGGATTATTTTTGAAAGACCAGGTAAAGTTGAGATTATTTTGGGTAATTTTTCCTTGATTTTAAAATTTATTTTTGAAATATCAAAATTTTCTCACATCTACTAATATACTTATGTTTATAAATGAAAAGATAAAAGATTAATTCAAATAGTGTTATGTTCCATTTGAATATAATTTGGTTAGAATTGAGTAAAATTGGGTGAAATTATGTAAATTTTATTCAATTGAGTGCAAAATTTATAAATTATTGAGTGTACTTAATTGAAAATAGATAAAATTAAATGTATAGAATCAAATATAATTAATTTTACACCTAAATGTAATGGTGTAGATTAAATTTGAAAATGACAACACTAAATGCAGACACTAGAATGTCTTTTCAAAATGCTAAACACTAGCATCTAATTTTATTGACTAATATTGAGTGAATTAGTTTGAAACTAATCAAATTAACTTTCAAATCAATAAAATTTATTGTAATGGGATAAAATTAGGATAAAATCTAGTTATTCCATACAATTCATCATATAATCCTTTCGTTCCAAAAAGAATATCATACTTCACTATTTAAAAATTACAGAAATTTTGTTTGTTTGTGCGCTATCATTTATATGTATAACTTATCTTTAATTTCTACATATAATAAATTTAAGGCATGAAATTTTGTACTTTTGTTTCAAGAAGATAATCCATTTTATGAGGGAATGAGCAAGTAATGTAATTAGTTCAAATGGTAAAATAAAAGTAAAAATTTAAAAAAATATAATATGCTTATTGAAAGGCAAACATAATTCCGAATTTATTGATTTTAGTTCTAATAGGGTTCGGATATTATCGGTTTTGGATATAATCGATTTTGGGTTTTATTTGTTTCGGATCGAATCAATTTCGGGTTTAATCGGTTTTAGATCTAATCAGTTTTGGATTTAAACAAGATCTGAATTATTTAGTTCGGTTTCGGTTTGGATCATTTCAGGTTTTCAGTTATAGATCGGATCTTCATTTTTTGGGTCATTTAGGTTTCGGTTCTGGATATTTTGGTTTGGATAACTGGTTCCGGTTTTATTTTGCTAAGTCTAGGTAAAGGGGTTAAATTTTAGGATGATATGGGTCAGTAGGGATATAAATGAATCGAATATTTTTTTTCGATTCGTGATTCGTATTCGTATGAGGTGATTTGCATTTGATTTTTTCAAATTTGAATATGAATACGAATCTGAATAAATATATAAATCCTTATCAAATACGATTATGAACCAATGTTATTCAATTCATGAATTTGACAAATATATTCGGAACCAATGTTATGCACCTTGTGGAGAGAAATGAGAATAAAATCTAGCCGTTAGATCTGATGCATCGTGCGGATCAGATTGCATCCTGCGCTCAAATTTTGAGATAGTGCATTTTCAAAGAATTTTGGTGCATTTCAGCACGATGCATTTTCAAACCATTTTGGTGCATCTAATTTTGATGCAATCCTGACCATTAGATCTCACAATCTAAATCACCAGATCCATTCTCATTTCTCTCCTAAAATTGCATTCTCACCAGAACATATATATATATATGTGTGTGTGTGTGTGTGTGTGTGTGTGTGTGTGTGTGTGTGTGGGGGATTGACTCCAGTTAGATGACGCATTATGGTGAGATGACATGCTACGGTCAGATGACGCAAAGCTCACCACTGGCCAACGCAAAGCTCACCACTGGCCAACGCAAAGCTCACCACTGGCTAAGAGCATGAACAATGGCAAGGAAAAAAAAGAATGTCACACGCTTACATGGCATAAATCAACCAATAAAAAATGGTCCAGTCAGAGAGTGGCAAGTGAGTGGAGTGGCACATCCTACAGTGGCAAATCGTTAGTTTTATCACTTTTTAAAATTTTTGTAATGTATTTTAATTATTAAAAAAAGAGTTTTTTTATCAAAAAAAATAAAAAAAGTAAAAAAAAAAGAAAAAGAGGCGTGGGAATGGGTGGAATGCCTTGCAATTGACTTGCTCACCGTGGTGGAATGGTCTTTTTCTCCATGCTAAGCATGGCAAAACATTTGGGAGCTGATGTGGCGAGCGTGGCAGGCATTTGCCTCGCCCGCTGCCACTGCCCATGCAAAGCTCACTAAACTGTAATGCAAAGCTCACCATATTTTTTCAACACTTTGAATTTTTTAAAAAAAAAATCAAAGGAATTGGTGCTGACTAGACTTTGACCATTGACCGTTGACCATCACCGCCGCTGACCTCCGCCAGCCGCCGCCGACCTCCGCCAGCTGCCGCCGATCTCCGCCGCCGACCTCCGCCACCGCCGCCGGTGACCTCCGCCGGTCGCCGGCCGCCGGAGAACACCTCCGCCGGCGACCACCTCCGCCCCGCCGCCGCCGACCTCCGCCGCCGACCGCTGGCTGCCGGCGACCACCTCCGCCGCTGTCGGTCTCCGCCGCGCCGCCGCCACTGACCGGTGGTTGACCGGTGTTGCTATTTTATTGTTTATTAATTTTTTAATTTTCAAAATAAAAAAAAAGGTGAGTTTTGGTTTTCAAAGTGGTGAGCTTTGCCTTATTTCCAGGTGAGCTTTACATTGGCTATTGGTGAGCTTTGCAGTGTAATGTGGTGAGCTTTGCGTCATCTCACCGAAGCATGTCATCTCACCCTAGCATGTCATCTCACCGAAGCATATATATATATAATGTTCTGGTGATATGAAATCTTATGAAAGAAATAAGAATAAATTAACGCCATTAGATCTCATCCTCCTAGATCAAGTTCTCATGGCACTCAAAATTCCCTTGACGTAGAATTTAGCATGTAGGCATCAACAACATCTTCAGCATTAACACCTGCTTTTTTCACACCATTGGACTCATTGCATGTTATCCTCATGTTAAGCTTCTGGCCCATGGTTCTCCCCATCCCCAAATGTGGTTTAGCACTTAGGCTCTGGAATCCAACTTCATCCTCCAGAATAGGATCTAGGAGTACGAGTGCTTCATCCATTATCTACACAATCGTGCCTCCAGTCGTTGGGAACAAATTTGGTGGAGGAAAAGGAGCGTTAATGATACTTTTTACATCACTCAACATGTTTATTCTGAAAGATTGTAACTCCACAGGATTCTGACTCAGCATAATTGGGGGACCACGAACGTTATTTTGAATTGAGCAACAGATTTCTATACCGAATGCGCATAAGTCAGAACCATATTTTTTCTCATCTGAAATATGACGAAACGACCGGAGTGTCCCCATTACTTCATCAACATGATTATAAACTACGCAAACTCATTCGTCTAGATCAGATC